CTTTGATCAAGTATAAAGTGATTTGGTTAGTTAAGGTCATGTCAACTTCGATGCATGTGAGTGTGTCTGTGTCTGTATTTGTATGTGCCTGTTTGTGTTCGCTTATGCACGAAACCCGAAGTGATGGCCTAAAGTAATTAGGACAGCAAAAAGGAACGTCTGTTTTTGGCCATCAAGGTTTGATGACCCCTATCTCCCCCCTTTCTACATGTAAGTTATAACCATCATTTCGATTGCGCAAGGTCGGACACACGTCTGGTATTGTTGATGAGCCTATTTTTTGCTTTTGGTCTCGATGCGAGAGAGAAAAAGTGAGCTAAAAGTACAAAGAATTGACTATCATTAGAACCAGAACAAGAAAAGACTATTTGCCTCGCCTCCTTTTTGCAAGCGGCTCAACTCCCTCTCCATTCTTTGGTCTATTAATTAAGCACAAATAGTTTTTACTTATCTTCTTGCCGGTATTCCTTACATTTAAGGTATTATCTATTCGGTTTATTTCTATGGCTTCTCTACTTATACGTTTAGCCACAAACATACCATAATCAGCAAAACTACAAGTTTGAGACCATTCAATCTCGTGACCCGTTTCTGGCCTGTGCTCAGCAAGCTCCGATTTTTTAACCCAACAACCTTTGCAGGCGCTTTTGTGTTCAGCCACTCTTTGTCGAATGGGACGAAAAGTCTCTCTATCATAAAAGCGACCGCATGAACACATTATCTTGTAGCAACCAGATGTGGATAATGGGTCAACTTTCTATCTAAAAGTGTGCATAACTGAAGAAAGTGTTCTAGTTTCCCTGAAGATAGTTTTTATTCCCTACTTCCTTACTTACTCACCTATCCTTTTAGAGAGAATGCACAATGGTAAAGACAAAACATGAGAAAAGGTCTCCTTATCTCTTCTCATATATTCATCATTCAAAAAGCTATTCTCTATTATTAGGGGGACCTTCATTTCGAATGAAAGTACATGAAGAACTCACCAGATGAGGACGGATGAAAATCGTTGTACTGCAGCCGTTTAGCTTTTATAATATATTCATGCTGACGCAGTCCACGAGTA